GATTCTGTATGTATGTAATTAATGAGGGAATGGGGCTTCTATAACACGTTGTATCTGTGTAGATTATACTGACCTTTAAACTGGTTGTTTCTTTAATGTTATTGCATTGATAAAGACTTGGAGAAAACTACCCAATATTGTATGGTAAGCCATAATAGTATGCTCATTGTTGCTGTGAAACAATTTGTATGTTTTGCAGCCTTCTTTGGTGAGTGATTGGGTGGATTGGATATTCATTGCATGTGTGATTTAAATATTGTATAAACTGTAAGACAAGAGTTGGCACATGTAACAAATAATACATACATTCAGAAATATCACCAGGCAACTGGTACAGTATTTGGTCCTCTTTTAAAAACAATAACTTCTTTCTGTTCTAAAAAAGTAGCAAAAGGAATTACATTTGTGATTGGCATAATCAACATATTGCACAGAACAGAATTACACTGATCAGCCACAACATTAAAACCACTAACAGGTGAAGTGAATAACATTGATTATATTGTTACAGTGGCACCTGTCAAGGGGTGGGCAAGTGAACAGTCAGTTCTTGAATTTCATGTGTTGGAAGCAGGAAAATGGGCAAGTGGAAATATATGAGTGACTTTGACAAGAGCCAATAGTGATTGATAGAAACATAGAAACATAGAATGTGACGGCAGATAAGAACCATTAGGCCCATCTAGTCTGCCCAATTTTCTAAATACTTTCATTAGTCCCTGGCCTTATCTTATAGGTAGGATACCCTTATGCCTATCCCACGCATGCTTAAACGCCTTTACTGTGTTAATCTCTACCATTTCAGCTGGAAGGCTATTCCATGCATCCACTACCCTCTCAGTAAAGTAATACTTCCTGATATTATTTTTAAACCTTTGCCCCTCTAATGTAAGAGAGTGTCCTCTTGTTGTGGTAGTTTTTCTTCTTTTAAATATAGTCTCCTCCTTTACTGTGTTGATTCCCTTTATGTATTTAAATGTTTCTATCATATCCCCACTGTCTCGTCTTTCCTCCAAGCAATACATGTTAAGATCCTTTAACCTTTCCTGGACAATTGGATCAGAGCATCTCCAAAACAGCAAATCTTGTGGGGTGTTCCAGGTTATTACCTACCAAAAGTGTTGCAAGGAAAGAGAACCAGTGAACCGGCATTAGGGTTATGGGCGCCCAAGGCTCATTGATGCACGTGTGGAGCAAAAGCTAGTCTGTGTGGTCCAATCACACAGACGAGCCACTGTAGCTCAAATTGCTGAAAAACTTACTACTGGACATAAGGTGTGTGAACACACAGTATATCACAGTTTGCTGTGTATGGTGCTGTGTAGCCGCATGATAACCCCTGTCCACTACCAAAAGCATCTTCAATGGTAGCATCAGTACTGGACCATGGAGCAATGGAAGAAGTTTGCTGGGTCTGATTAATCACATTTTCTTTTCGATCAGGTGGATGCCCATCATGGCTGATTCTGGGTGGTTGAAAAGAGGTGGATCGGCATGATAACAGTTAGGTTCTGCCTCATAATGCTAGGTACTGCTCCCTCTCATTAGGCTCAGGCCCTTGAGATTGGCGCAGGTCGAAAGAGCTGGAAGGAAAAGGTTATGAGCTGAGAATCTGTTTGAGGACATACTTCCTTCAAACAGCTTGTGGCGAAACCAACCTCGCCACTGTGAACTGGAGAAGCCTGGTTGCTCGCCTGCTCCCTTTGGACTATGGCCCTGCAGGTTAAACCGTTTATTTCCCCTGCAGAAAGGCTTATTTGTGTGATCTGAGTGCCATTCATCTAATAATGTGCACTCAGATCCCAGCTATCTGGGGATATGTGAAATGTCTGTGTGTTATGTGTAAATGTGACTTTATGTATTTTAAAGTGTTTTGTGTCTTTTTGCAACCATGTGCTTAATGGAGTCTTGTGTCTATCCTGGGAGATAATTGAATTACTCTCCAGGATAGAAGACTCTGAAACTGGTTTGGGCCAGAAAGCCATGCTTCATTTAGTCACAAAGGACTTTTACTAACTTTTGAACCCCTGGTCTGATTCGTGCCATTTTTTAATATGTTGTTCCCCTGAATGGATTGATTGTGAATATGTAATTTTATGTGAATGTGATGTATGGTTTTGGAGTTATGAAAGTTGGGTAGAAAGTATGTTTTAACTGTATGTATAATTGAGTTTCCTCTCAGGATAAGGGGAGGGAATATGTGGGATGTAACTGTGATGTGATTGGTTGTTTTGTAACGCCCTGTGGGCTGTACTATGTTTGTGGATTGGGAATAAAAGAGACTGTATGTGACAGTACAGGAGTTCCTGTTTTAACCCTCAAAGTGAAGTGTCGTCTCATTATTGGGGGAAGGATTTATTGTATGCTGTTCCAGTTTGACTGCTAGGAGAGCAAACCTATTCATATGGTTCCTATTCAACTGTCTACAGCATTCATATGCTTAAGAGCATTCATATGCTCCTACAGTTCGGTGGTTGTGGTGTCTGCCAGAGTGCTTGGAGTCCTCAGGAAGCGCTAGGAGCATCCTTTAACGGAGGTACCCAGTCGGGGTGCCAGGTGATCCGTTACACAGCTTGTAACCATTTCCTTCTAGCTCTGATGCCCAGTGATGATTATGAGGGGATTGTAGCCAAATGAGAGGTTGTTTGGCCTAACAAGAAGAGCAGAGCATATCGATGCACACCTTGCCAATCTGTCTCTTTCTCTTTCTCACCTATTCAGGATTTGCCCTGATTGTCAAGTGCATATGCATTGTTTACCTGGGAAAGAGACGGCAGCAGTATACACTATGGGAAGAAGGCAGTGTTATGCTCTGGGCAATGCTCTGCTAAGAAACATTAAATCATGGCAAGCAGGTGGAAGAGAACATATACCCCTTAAAAGCAATGGTGTTCCCTGATGCCAATGGGCTCTTTCAGCAGGATAATGCACCCTGCCACACTGCAAAAATTGTTCAGGAATGCTTTTAGGAACATGAAAAAGACGTTGCCTTGGCCTCCAATTTCACCAGATCTCAATCTGATTGAGCATTTGCGAAATGTGGTGGAACAATAAATCAGATCCAAGGAGGCCCCACCCCGCAACTTGCAGGACTTAAAGGATATGCTGCTAATTTCTTGGTGCCAGATGCCACAGGACATGTTCAGAGGTCTTGTGGAGTCCATGCCTCCATGTATCAGAGCTGTATTGGCAGCATGAGGGGGACCTACACAATATTAGGCAGGTGGTTTTAATGTTGTGGCTGATCAGTGTATTGAATTTATAGGAAAACAGGTGTAATTAAGTGGTAAAGGAACCATTTTTCTACTTGTATATTTATATATGCAAGATTTAAAAGAAGTTTTAAAAATGTTGAACAGTTCAAAAAGTCACACAGTCATTTAAAAGTCTGCTTGAGTACAGTATACATACTCAGTTTGCAGTAATATGTTGTATAGATAAATATTAATTAGGTAACCATGGTAATTGTATGCAATAATCAGCAGCAGCTATGTGCAAGCATGTTGATTTTTATGTGAAATACTTTGAATACATTGAGTATGTGTAATCAATTGTATTACCTTTAAGTCATATGTTTAATTCACAGATATATATATATTTACATTACATATTATTCTCTACAGATCCATTACCTCACCTATATTACAAATTCATAATAATAATAATAATAATAAAAACTACGTATTTAACCAGGAAAGGTACCTTCAGATTACTCTGGTTTTCAAGTACATCCTGGGGATCTTACCTTAGCCCAACATCCCAGCAAAAAATTAATACATCCTTTATGAATGTCAACTTGAATTTGGCCTGTATAAATAAAAGCTCTCTGGAAAAAATCACAAATTATGCAAAAAGTGCAGCAATAGGATAAGATTTGTAGTTTAGTTTCGGAAGCAATGTAATTATTGATTTTAACCAGTAGATGGTGCATGTGTTCTGTAAATTGCTATGGCTTAGCCTTTATTGATCAATGATAAGGAATACATTGTATTTGTCACATGTATTTGTGGTCAAGCCTTTCTTTTTGTTAATATAAATACAATATAGTAAGTAATGTATTGGTTTCCAGAATATTTTCATGTCCAAGATTTAATAAGGTATAAAACAATTTACTGTGAGTAATAGCTCTATATTAAATATTAAACTATTATTTATTTATAAAATATGTTACCAGCAAGGATTCATTGAGATTGCTCTCATTTTCAGTTATGTCCTGGGTCCACAAAACATTGCATTGTTACAGCAGGGTAGAGTATAATATTAAAATACACATATATACATTTTACACAGAATAGGTAAGAAATATAATCAACCATGATTACAGGTGCATTCAGCAAAATTCCAACACAGTCAGCAAGAGCATTTCATAAAGATTTTATCTTTATGAAATACTCATTTTTTTCAGAGGGGGGGAGGGTGGGGGGAGAGGGGAGAAGAGGGTTGCTGGTGCCTCTTTAAGTTAGAGTTTGAACCCACAGGAGTTGTTTTAGTGGGCCAAGTTTGACTCAGTGCACAGCCTGCTGTATGTATGCATGCCTGGAAGAATCCTTTCTGTGTACATACCTCTGTGACAAGTTTGAGTGAGTGGCTTCTCTGGGAGCTCAGACTGGAGATTTGGAGAGGCAAATTGCAACACTGAGACAGATTGACAACCTTGAGAAGGACTTCCTGCTCACTGAGTGGCAGCAGATAGTGGAGCGGGAGGAGATGAGCCAGGTGGGGAATAGGTAGGTAGCTAGGTGGCAGTTGGGCCAGAGGGGGAGGGCAGAGGAAGGGCGTAGGCAGTCCTGCTTTACTACACCAGAGCAGATTTGCCCACTTGAGTGAAGATGTTGGGAGTATCAGCTCAGGAGTGGATGTGCTGGAGGAAACTGCTCCTTTTAACAGCTCTAGTGTGGATGAGATAGAGATTGTAGGAAAGGCTAGATAGTTTGTGGTGGTAGGGGATTCTTTTATTATGAGAGTAGACAGGGTAATCTGCCCCTCTGATTGCATCAGTCAGACAGCTTGATCGGTCCGGCATGTTGCTGACCAAGTAGATACATTATTGGGAGGGGCTGGGGATTTCCCATACGTCATGGTCATATGGGTACCAATGACATAGTTAGAGTAAGTTATGGGGCCCTAAAGGACGGGTTGTGGGAATTAGAAAGCGCACTTAAGACCAGGACTTCTTAGGTGTTTTTTTTTTCTCTACGATATCACCTGTGTCAACCGCTACAGTAGAAAGGGAATAGGGAGGTCAATGGGTGGCTGAAGTCTTAGTGTAGGAAGATCTGTGAATAAAATCAACATTTAGTAACTGTCCCTAACCATCATTCATTGGAAATATTGAATCAAATAAAATATATTTCATTGTCCATTTAGTTTGTTTTGTGATTCGGATTTACAGAATTCAAGCAAATCGCTAAACACCAAAAGTTCTAATGGATCACAATTCGATTGCAAGTTTATTCAATCTACTGTTGAGCAAAACTGGTCATGCACTGCCCCACAATATGCCAACATTCTAATTGTCCAAGAAAACCTGCGCAACCCTGAAGCCATCTCATCATAAGTCAACTCATTGAACATTGCCTGAAGCACAGCAAACTTACTTTTTTAACAACTCTCTGGAAGCATTATCTGGCTGTGACAGCAATACAGTTATAATGCATGGTGACAAATCAAGTAACAAAAAAAAAAATCTGCTGGGTTGTGCCCAGCTGAATGTTTCTTGTCTTGAACATAAATATGATTGTTAAGATGTAGAATGTTTGTAAATCTGACACTGTTTTCCTCCACGCTCATAAGTAAACCATTGCTTTGAAGATCACATGTAATTATCCAACACTACAGTACACCAGTCAATTTGCCCTTCTAAACGTTCATTCTTATCTGGCCATTAGCTGTATGGAGAAGTAAATACATATCTCTTGGTGCGATCATCTTGCTGATCACTGGAGGAGCCTGTTGGGAGAAGATTATAGGTCTGGGCAGCACACAATGCCTTCACACGTTGCTCTGCTAGAAGGTGGTAACATGTGACAAGCTCCTGGCCCTAACTGCTATCATTAGACAAACATCTGCAATTGGTTAAAGCTTGCCATAGGCACCTTGTGCACTTTATAAATGCAGAGACATACACATAAACACAGAAAAATATTAAACATGTGTGTGTGTTAAAATTTCTATACCTGCTGGTGTTTAAGCAGAATAACAACAGATTGTCATGTAAACCCAAGATGTATCAGTAAACGATTAATAATAGTTTCATTAATTACTGTGTTGATCTGAACAAATATTTTAATACATTCAGTCTCCATTAACTCGGCCGTATGTAAGGATTATTCTTTCTTAAATTAGTTATGTAACGTACGGATAATGGCACATCAGTGGCAGATAGAATCTTTATTTTTCATGCACATAGAGTTTGCTCATACAGTTTTTTTTCCATACAATAACTAATATTCTATTTCATTATACAGACATTACATTATTACACACACTCCCAAAAGGCAAAAGCACATATATAAGGAAAAACAACAAAGGGTGCACTCACGGGCATGTTATAGTGGATGCATTATGCACTGGTGGATATTACAGCAGTGATGTTTTTGAAGAATGCTCAGCATATTTGGATTATATAACATATTTAAATTTAAATCCAGCGCATGCTCTCATTCATTCATTATAATTCCTTGCGCTGAGCAGCACTGTGGTAGTTTGTTTTTTGACTTGTAAACGATGTATCGGCACCTCCCATAAAAAAGTAAGAATTTGAGTTTTGGGCTTTTTTCCAATCAATTTATATATTTTTTTATTGTTTGCATTTCCATAGTGAGTATAGTACGCAAATGACATTTAGGCTAAACATGTGGTATCACTTTCAAAAGAAATAAAAAACCTTGATAGGACTCATTTTACATTTTTAAGGTTCTCTTCCACATATCATGATTCATTACACCAGCCCCATATCATGACTTTGTTTTCTAGTTCAGAAAATGGAACACCATGCATTTAAAAGCACATTTGAAGAGTTTAGTATTTATAGGTAAGACTGATATATACCCCTGCACCGGGCAATATTTAACCCCAGTATGTACACAAGGTAATATCTGACACACTGCCCTGATATATACCCCATGCACAGGGATATATATCAGGGCAGTGTGTGATACATATGCATATATTGGGGCATATAGTGACTTAACCCAGTACCCAGGACTTACCCCAGCATGCAGATTGCACTCACATGACTCACCCCAGCACCCAGGACATATCCCAGCATGGTGATTGCAATCACAGGACTTCCCAACCCTAGCACTTAGATTGCACTCATAGGACCTGTCCCAGCACCCAGGACTTTCCCCATAACTTAGTCTGCACTCATAGGATCTGCCCTAGCACCCAGGACTTACCCCAATACTGAGATTCTACTTGCAGGGCTTGGCCCAGCACCCAGGACTAACCTCAGCATGGAGATCACACTTACAGGACTTGCCAAGGCACCCAGGACTTACCCCAACAATGAGATTGCACTCACAGGACTTGCCCTAGCACCAAGGACTAACCCTAGCACAGAGACTGCACTCATAGAACTTGCCCTAGCATCCAGTACTTACACTAACACTGAGATTGCAACTCATAGAACTTGCCCTAGCATCCAGGACTTACCCAAGCACGGAGATTGCACTCACAGGACTTGCCCTAGCATCCAGAACGTACCCTAGCACGGAGACTGCACTTTTAGGACTTGCCCAAGCACCCAGGACTTACCCTAGGACTTGCCCCAGGACTTCTAACAGCCTCCTGCATGCACCGTGCAGTAGGGAAAAGATGCTGTATATGAGATTTCCGACAGCAACAAAGGCAACATCACATTGCCAGCGAGAGTGCTCTCTCATGCTTTTGCGGCCGCATCTGCATCCTGCCACGGTCAAACTTTTAAAGTAGCCAGTGACAAATTCTTAAAGTCCGCATTCCAGGGCAATACGGCCCTGCACCATATTACAAACAGGAGTCTTTACTGGTGTTGCTACATTTTTATTTTATAACTAGCAAATACCTTGCTTGTGATAGATGACCTCAGCCTGTCTGAATATAGTGGGGACTGCATGTGATGTATTGGGGTGTCCGTGTGTAATAGGAATAGTGTGTGTGTGATTATATTGGGCTGTGTACGTGTGATGGAAACTGTGTTAGCACTGGGTTGGCTGTGATGAGAATGTGTGTGACTATTTTGTGCTGTAAATGTGTGATGGGGACTGTTTGTGATGGTTTTGGGCTGACTCTGTATTGTGGGATAAACTGTGTTTGTTTGTCTTTGTGTGTCAGTAATAACCCCTGATGAGCAAATAGCATCTGTGCTGCTGTGCTGTATAAAAGTTGTTAAATCCTAGAGCAGAATAAATAACAGTTCAGACACTCCGGGATAACCAAAATAGCAGCTTTATTGTGGCAAAAGCAGCAACGTTTGACCCTACCGGGTCTTTATCAAGCTGCTATTTTTGTTATTCCGGAGTGCCTGAACCGTTATTTATTCTGCATATCTTGAAAGGGAGGCCTGGCCAGACCTGGATTCAGAGCACCTGGGTTATTTGGTGAGTGCGGTATCCAGTACGTCTCTACTGTTGAATCCTAGACCAGCACAAACTAAAATTACTTGTTTTATTCTCATGCACACAATATGTTCTGGGTACATACATATCATTTACTCAAAAGCTTCACACTAAGTTACTTACTGTTTCAGTAGTAAAGCTGCTATCTGAAGTGTCCGCTCCATTTTCTCCCTCAGTACCTCTGCAAACTGCAGTCTCAGCCAGGCAGGTAAGGTGTCACAGCTTAGGTGTAGACACACTGTCCTCTCCACTCACCCCTCAGTCCCTCTGCAATCTCCAGGCAGGGTAAGGTATGCTTGCACTCTCAACTCTGCTTGCTTCTACCCCCCTTCCATCCATGTCTCTTCTACCCCACACTTCAATTTATGTCTCTTAGCCCCTTCCATCCATGTCTCTTCTAACCCCCTTCCATCCATGTCTCTGTTTTCCTTGCATCCACATCTCTTCCCCCTTCTGTGTATCCCTCGCTTAATCCATCCATGTCTCTCCAACCTTCCATCCAAATCTCCTACCCCCTTCCGTCCATGCCTCCCTCCACCTCTTCCATTCATGTCTCTGTTCTCCTCCCTTCCATGTATCTGCACCCTTCCACCCATGTATGTATGTTTGTTTGTCTCTGCAGAGTATGTCTATGCTTTAGTTTTTAATCTATTTTTTCCAGAATTATATTATGGTCTGCTCCAATATCTACATCAAAAGGTATCATAATTTCGTGAGCTACTACCTTCACAATCCATTCCTTGACAGACATTCACACCTGCTGTACCATGTCCACTCAATGGTTATCCTCAATAAAGGCTGAGCATTAAAAACACGTAGCTTGCTTTCACTACTGGCTAAATGATTATCTTTCCTACAAATCTTACATGGCTGTCCATCGGCTGGGCATTTATGGTACCAATATACAGCGCCGCATCTCCCCTATGACACTGCTCCATTGCTGGAATATGTTGCATGTTAAATACTTTTTTTCTGGCCAGAGAAATGGGTGGATGTGCCTTAGTTTGCTAAGGGATTTCCTAACTTAATTCACCGAATCCTGAGGGATGGATTTACACGTAACAAGCAGCTGTATTTTGGTCTGTTCAGGAGATTGATATATAGATATTGCTTTTTGCAGTGTTAGATGATGTGTCTTCAGACAGTTACAATCTATAACAAGTCTGTTTCTAATCAGTGATTTTTTTCCAAGTCCCAAAGTTACATGACTCGCTTTTCAGTCAGTGACAAACTCTATCACAATTTCATGTATTTGTTGTACCTTGCAGTTAAACACAAAATGCTCATAAGTTTATTTTTCCCTGGGAGTGCTGTAAAGGTTAGATATTTACATTTTAATTATCTGAATTTTTCTTCCATACATTTTCATCTGGGTATTAGTAACATGATAATTACTGTCTTTCATGTAATTGCAGCTAATATTATCAGGGCTAATGAAAAACATATTTGACACAGTCCCATAGGGAAACAATTAGACCACCTGCTGTAGTAATCTCTCTTATGATCTTGTGTAATTCATTTGGATACAGAATTTCATTTTATGGGGAGTCTTAAAATGGATATGGCATTAACTGTGTAATGTAAATTGATTTATTGTCCATATAGGTTCTGTGTTCAAGTGATGCTTTACACTAAATTCTATGTAACAGATTTTGATTGGGGACATGAGTTCTTGATTTCATGTCTGTGTCTGGATGCTTTTAATCTTAGAGATCTGGGTAGAAGATGAACTTGCATAAATAATTGTTGGGCGCAGAGAATTCTTACAAGGCTATTCACACAATACCGCATTTTCTTTGGATTTAAAAACTGACCAAATTCTGCAATGGCATTCCTTATATTTACTAAAGCCAAATGCATTTGGAATTCGATCAGTTTGAGCAAATTTAGAGCAATTACCTGGATGCATTTGGTGCCTGGATTAAATTCAGTCTGGCTGTCAATCAGTACTTCCTGGTTTGGTTAGCTCAGTGGAGCTAAACTCAAGAAGCATCGACTGCTCAGAGCAGCTACCTTACAAAGACTTCTCATTGAGCTGCATTGGGAATTTTGGGAATTCTTTGAATAGCATTAACAATGTCCAGATGTTACAGTCTGAAGGGCCCCATCCACAGCCGGATTGTTTTGCATCATTCAGTACGGGGACATTTGAACTCTAGTGAATAACCCTGCTAAAGTGGACTTTCCAGCTACAAAAGGTAAAGATAATAAAGTCAGATTTAGGTAATGAGAAAAAGAAAGAGGAAAATGAGACTATAGGAACAGAAAGATATGACCCCGAAGTCAAGTTGGACTAAGTGGGTAATATGGGCTTCACCCAATATAGGCAATATTTAAATTAGAAAGATTTGAGAAATGGTCCCAAGTAAAAAGGCTGGGGGTATCAGCTCTCAAAAGATTACTCACATAATAAATTGGAAAACCAACTTGATTGGTATAAAGGCACAAATTCTAAGTCTTTATTAACACTAATCAAATATAGACAAACATAAAGTGAAAAAACTTAAAGTGAGTAAAATGTGAATGTGAAAAAGTGATGATAAAAAGGGAAAAATAAAGTAGCCTCCCAGACCCATCCCATATATAAATCAGCTGCTGTACAATTAAGCTTTCCATTGCCGAGGATTATTGAAATATTTGCACGCTGGTTGCTAGCACTGCCAGCATGCAAATAGTACTTAAAATTATGTTTCGCTTGCATGAAAGGAAATGAACTAGAATTTGTGAATGTGCTTTCTGACCCAAATTTTATTAAAACCGGTGAATCTTCCACATACTATAATTAGTTTTTTTAACCAGTCCAAATTCCAACCATACTTGACTTTTGTAAATATGAGAATTCCCATTGTGGTCTGAGGTCAGTCATTGTCACCAGATATTGTCCAGCCAGATGAATTCCGTTGTTTAGTGAATAACCCAGAACCCATCTAATGAGACAGGAAGGGATAGTCTTATCAACCATTAATTAGAAGCACGTGCAGTGGTCTGCAGCACTTTAACATGGCTGTGTAATAAATAAATCAAATAGAAACACACAGAATTAACTCCTGCACTCAGACTTGGACTACTCATGGGTGTTTGCAATGGCCGTAATATATCAACCCAAATACATACAACAAACACCCCCAAAAAAGACATTAGATGATTGACAGGAATTGGTGAGCAATGCCTCTAAAACTACATACAAATGCTATATTATTAAAGAAAATATTCATGAAGACTCTGAGAAGGCATCCTGGCTGCACAAATACCTGGTATGTTATCTGCTGTAAAATGCCTGAATTCTCAATAAGTGCTTCATATAAAATAACAGATCTTATGGAGCAGATTCTATATAATGAACGCGATGAACAAGTGATTCTCAAATTGCTTCTGAATGTAAAGATATCATTTTCTGTTCCTGCTTAAAGAAACACTCCACACAGCATACTACAGTACACTAATATAAGTAATCAAACCATTTGCTAAATAGTTGACAACTAACTTGGAGTCTGCAGGACAGCAGTCACATCCTTCCATAGGGCCGGACTGGATCTGCATTGAGGTAAATCCACTAATTTCTTAGGCTATGATCTGGCGCTGAACGGCAGGGACTTGCTATGGAGAGCTAATGGAAGCTCTTAGCAGTAGAGGTTGTTACCGGGGCAGATGGACCCCAGGTAAGCAAAAGGAGGACATCAAAGCATTCCTGGCACACTGTAGTTTTATAGTGCTTGAAATACTTCTTTATGCAGAAACAACACACTATTAAAGGAACACTATAGTCACCTAAATTACTTTAGCTAAATAAAGCAGTTTTAGTGTATAGATCATTCCCCTGCAATTTCACTGCTCAATTCACTGTCATTTAGGAGTTAAATCACTTTGTTTCTGTTTATGCAGCCCTAGCCACACCTCCCCTGGATATGATTGACAGAGCCTGCATGAAAAAAAAACTGGTTTCACTTTCAAACAGATGTAATTTACCTTAAATAATTGTATCTCAATCTCTAAATTGAACTTTAATCACATACAGGAGGCTCTTGCAGGGTCTAGCAAGCTATTAACATAGCAGGGGATAAGAAAATCTTAATTAAACAGAACTTGCAATAAAGAAAGCCTAA